AGCAGCCACAAAATTAAAAGACACCTGCTTCTTGGGAGGAAAGCTATGCCAAACCTAGACAGCATCTTAAAAAGCGGAGACATCACCTTGCCAACAAAATTCCGCATAGTCAAAGCTATGGTTTTTCCAGTAGCGATGTATGGAAGTGACAGCTGGACCATAAAGAAGGCTGACCACCAAAGAATTGATGCTTTTGAATTGTGGTGCTGGAGGAGACTCTTGAGCGTTCCCTGGACTTCAAGGAGATCAAACCTATCTGTTTCGAAGGAAATCAACCCTGAGTGCTTACTTGAAGGACAGATCCTGAAGCTGAGGCTCCAATACTCTTGCCATCTCATGAGAAAAGACCCTGATGTTGGAAAAGTGTGAAGGCAAGAGTCGAAGAGGACGACAGAGGACTACAGAGGACGGGATGGTTGGGCAGTGTCATTGAAGCTACCAACATGAATTTGACCCAACTCCAGGAGGCAGTGGAAGACAGGAGGGCCTGGCATGCTCTGGTCCATGGGGTCACAAAGAGTCAGACATGACTTAACAACTAAACAACAACAACAAATACGAAGTTGTTGTAATGACTTTTGTTGGTAACAGCAGAAAGGTTATTTATATACACATATGGCTACAGATGACAGTAGAATGCCAAAAAAGTCAATGTTTTGAGAATGGAAGATAACTGAGGGAGGATTCAGATCAGAAGGTTGAAGTGGAACACAGCACAGAGTTTGAGTATGAAAACAGTTCCTGAGGCTCTTGATCATGAATTAAAATAAATAACCCACAGAGAGATAATTACTTTGAAAATAAAGGAAAAGATTCTTTGAGCGTCCTCAACAAAGACAAAACAAATATGGTTCAGTTGATGTTGGTCAATCCCACCTCTCAGATGCAAAGAGATCAAAGAATACTATCTCTCTCTCCCTCCCTCCCTCTCTCTCTCTCTCTCTCTCTCTCTCTCTCTCTGTGTGTGTGTGTGTGTGTGTACTTTAACTTCCTCAAGGAAAGATCTACAGGAAAGCAGTAAGCCCCTGAAAAATATGCTTCTAGCAGCGTCAGTTATTTTCTAGGGAAGAGAACACATAACAGCCAGAAGGCAACTGACTAGAAGGCAAGTTGATCTGTGTTTTTACCAGTCCAAAGGCATAGCAACACTGGACCAGAGAAATTGCTGGGTATGTGGGAGGTGGGTTGATGTTCACATTTCTTGAAGGAGGCTTGTCCTCCCTTTGAAAACTCATAGATAAGGAACATTTAGCACAAACAATGGAGATGAAGGAGGCTTGTCCTCCCTTTGAAAACTCTGGCTGAAGAAAGCATCGTCATAGATAAGGAACATTTAGCACAAATAATGGAGAGCATTCAGCTTGTATACAGCAAGCTATGAATATAACATAGTTCAGGTATCTTATCTTTTAAAAAAGAAACTTACTCTCATGAAAGGCTGTTTTTGTAAAAGAGAGTTTAGTTTTGGTTTGTATCTATGAGCTCTTATTAAGAGTAGTGAACTCGGCCTTTTTTAAAAATGAGTTGTCAAGAAGACTTCTCATTCAACCTCTGTATTATATATATGCTGAAACAGGCTAATAGGGCTACCTCTTTGAAAAGTGACATAAAAGCCTACCGGTAATTATATTTTTTTCTTTCTGTCCTTGTTAATACAGCAGTTGGGTATGTTCAACATGTACTGTGAATGTTCGTGTATTTGAATGTTTCTAACCAGGCTGCAAGCTTTTGTCTATTGTTATGGGAATTCCATTGTGTATCAAGTGAAAATATGGCAATTTCTCTGGGCTTTTGTATAGATCGCTAGCCTAGTGATGCATGTTGAATAGTGCTGAGTGTGAATTGACTTCTACAGTAGTTACAGGTCACTCAACTATCTGCCAGAGCAGAGGCTGAATCAAAGAACTTTTCTGTTTGAAATGTACAGCGGTAGGAAAAGATCTGTTAATGGTGATGTGACTAAAATATACACTATCTGAGACTTGTAGTCTAAAAAGATCATTTTGGAAATGTAGCTAGAAACAGGCCCAGACTTTTGTTTATACAGCTGGTTGACAAGTCACCTTGGCTAACTTCAAGGGCCTACTGTAGCTTTTGAAGAAATAATGCTGCTTTAAAGATTGTTGATAATTAATATGTATCATCAAGTTGTTTCCAATTAATGGTGACCGTCTCAGGGTTTTCTCAGAACTAATTCATCAGTTTTGCCTTCTGATCGTGCTCTGGGAATAGGCAGCTTACTTAGGGTACATACCCGTTCAGTTAGTCACATATGCTCTTGGTGATCCCAGCTGGCTCTTTTTGCAGAAAGCACAGTATGTATTTGAATTTCCATTCCCTAGTGTTTCTACTCATTGAACTACTCTATATCAGTCCTTCCAGCTTTAAAGACTAATGCTATCTTAGGAATCACAACCCCTCTCTCACCCTGCTTAACTAAAATTTCATTTTTATTTTAGGTATCATTGGGTGTTCACCTTTTTTAGCCAATGTTTCTTTCAGTTATTAGGGGAGATGATGGGCATTCTATTTTTGTTTGGGTTTATATCATTTTCTTTTCATGTTACTTAAGCCACTCCAAGTAGTGAGTCAGGTGGTATATAAGCTTAATAAATAAATAAATGAACAAAGAAACATATTTGTAAATAAATAATAAAATCATAAGTCTTCTAGTCTTCCCAAAGAAAAAACACTAATAGCCCGTTGCTAACACTTCCTTGTCCTTGGGGAAGTGTAGAATTTTGTTAATCAGTAAAAAAATAATCAGCAAGCACAGCAGAACCCCAGCAGCCATGGGAACAGTATCCACAGTTTCACTTATCTGTGGCTCACTGCAGCTCTATATACAACATACTATGACACCTCCTTGTGGCCTTTGTCCCACCTTCTTGTATGTTGTATACTGTATAGTGTTCTTTCATATCTGCAGTTTCAGGCATCCGCTTGTCCCACCTTCTTGTATGTTGTATATAGTGTTCCTTCATATCTGCAGTTTCAGGTATCCATGGTAAATCATGGAACTGATCCCCCATGTATATGGGAGGCCCTACTGTATTTTAATTGCTGATGAATATCTATACTCCTGTCAGTCAATCATTAGAACTGATAGCAAACAAAAATGTTGGATTTGGAGGACCCCAGAAAGCAAGTCACAGAGATGAACCACCTCTATCAAATCTGTGTCAAATCTGATGAAATGTTCTTTTCTGTGGTGTGTTAGTATCTGCTTTAACATAGTAGGTGGATGGAAGCTAATTATTACTTTAAAAAAGAACCTGCATTCTTCCTTCAGGACCTCCAGAAATAACAGTTTCCTGAGAAATTGTAATATATAAATGTATTTCAGTATAGTCAAACAAAACCAGAAAGATGGAGGAGGGATATATGCACACATAGATATTGAGGTATTGTGTTTGGTAAACCAATTTAACAAAGTAGAACACAGAAGGTTTCACAAGTGAAAAAGAAATACTTGGGGCATCCACTTGAAGGATACCAGATGATCTAAAATTTGTCCACATGCCCTTGAATATCAGAAAATTAATATTAAATAATTGCTGCATCACCATGCGGGGGGAAAAATGGCTGCTGTCATTACTTTTAGTGAGATAACCAGAAACATAACAATGCAACAATTTTTCTTTATTAACTCCTTATTCTAATAATCTGCTAAAACTTTTTAGATTATATAGCTAGATAAGAAAGTGCAAAGAAAAAGAAAAGAGGATCAGACATACAAAATGTAGGAACATTCGTTTCTGTATTTTTCAGATTTGTTAGTATTTGATGTGCCAGTCCCTGTTAGGCAATTATCCCCTTTAACTGGACCAATCGCTGATGTTGGCATATATATAGAGAGAGAGAGAGCCATGATTCCCAGCCTTGGATCCCCAGAAGTTCTTGGACTACAACTCTTAGAAATCCTGGCCAGCACAGCTAGTAGTGAAGGCTTCTGGGAGTTTTAGTCCAAGAACCTCTGAGGACCCAAGGTTGGGAACTGCTACCCTATTTCCTTATTGACATAGTGATTGGATACTGTCAAGTCCATGAATCATGAGAACATATGAAAGGCAGAGTTGGTACTGCAATACCATATATCTTTGAGTTATAATCTTCCATTAGATCAAGGAACGCACAATGTTTCTCTTTAAATGTTATTGGACTGCAGCTCCCATCAACCATAGCTGGTATAGTTGATGATGAGAAATGCTGGGAGTGGCACTACAACATCTGAAGTACTGCACGTTGCCCGCTCTATGTTGGATGATCTAGTGCTGCTGTTGAAGAGCTGATCCAATTTAGGGAGCCGCCCACAACAAAGACGACTTTTTTTCTGTTTCCTTGAAGAATTGTTAATTTCCAGGACAGTGCAAAAGAATTTACTAGGGACCATCTGGATAGAGACTGGAGTAGTCTTAATCTGGCATGGGGTAGTGGCTGAGCAGAGGTGGAAGGGACTGGCAATGGGCTTTCAGGAGAACAAAAGTACAGGTATGTGGACAAGTTAAGCATACTGAAAGAGAGAGAGAAAGAAAGATCACATGAGATCGATGGATATGGGGATGCAACCTTCAACAGCAGACACATTCTCAAGGAAGGAGGAAACAAATGCCAGCTTGTGTTGCAGTCTCTTTCCATCTACACAACTGCATATTTCATGTCTTTTCTCTCTGTATCTGCAGGAGTAAAAAGATATTTAATTCTAAACAACAAAATGTATTTTTCCCATTTCATCCCCGTTCCCAAAACTGAGATTTCTTTCATTCCAGCCTCATTGCTGTTTCCTGATGGGAAATGCAGGCAGCATTAGCAAGAGTCTGTTAAAAACAACAACCAAGGTTCCACTAACTTGTTAAACAGAGAGAGTCTGAAAAAACTGCCAAGCCCTCTGCAAGGGAAGAAGGAGAGAGAGAGAGAGAGAGAGAGAGAGAGAGAGAGAAATCTAGTTATTTATAACGCCAAGCAGCTTTAAAGTTTCTTCATTCTAGTTTGCAAACTGCCTGCTGCTTGGAGGTCACTCCAAAAAAAATCCCAGCAAAGCCCATGGCCTCCCAGTGCAATATTTGATCAGGAGTCTGGGCGGGCACCAACCTTGGCAGATTGAAAGCTGCACACACACGCTCTTTAGTACACAGGAGGATCACACAGGCGAACACTGCAGCTCTGGGAAAAAGGTGTCTCTGAGTCCAGGTGAGTTGATTTTTGAATTGCGTATTTTGCAAATAGGATGTTTGAGCAATCCTTGGCATACACATGCCAAAAAGATGGTTGCCATCTTAGGTGGAATGCGCCAATGGGGACATGGGCTGGCAGAGGGCTAGCAAAGGGTGTCTGTGTGTCAGTAACAAAGCACGGCATGGGTCACTAAGATGCACACCTGTCTTGGCTGCTGGAGAAGGGAAACATATTTATTTGACCTCATTAATAATGGCTTCTCCACTTCCATAATTTGCAAAATCCTTGGCAGTCAGAGGTGGGATGAGACAAGTGCCCAGTCTTGCCAGACCCCTTTGCACAACCTCCTTCCACTTCGTGCCCAGGACATTGTGTACCAGGCTGCTTTATTGCTATATCATCTGCATCAGGTCACTGACAACAAATGGTGAGATTTAAACCATGGGGAGCAATTAACAGGCAAGGATTGCTACATTGTGAATAGCACCTGAAAATTTATCATTGGAACACCAGGGATGCAGAGTCTTAGATAAGGGGTCAAGAATCTCAGTTCAGCTGAATGAAGAAACAGTTGTCTTCTTTTAATACATTGAAGAGTATCTGTTAAGACTCTCACCGCTAACATGGTTTGACTGCAGATGGACACGTAGCAAGTGCACAGCAGATGGGAATATATTTTTCATAAATGTGGCTTGGTAAGGAGAACTTCCAGGCAAGAAAAACCTTCCAGGAATAACCATCTGGAATATCGCTCTTTCTAGCATAGCTATTAGAACAGGGATTCAGTTGTGCAGAGGCAGATCCTTTCTTCAAATGATGCTTCTTAGAGACATCTGATTTTTTTAAAAAAAATCCAAAATCAAGATTAAGACAATACCTTCCCAGTTCATAACCATTCTGGCTGGGGGATTTTGGGAGTTGCAGTCAAAAAAAGTAAAATTTCCGAGTTCTGAATGCCTGCATGTGGCAAATCCGAAGGCACAAAATACAGTGCAAATGTCGGAATTTTCCAAAATTTTTCATCAGGCTAGATGGTAAACAACAATGTTGGAAAAGACTGGGAGATGAAAGGAAAAGTGGATATTGAGGCTGCTGAATCAGAGGCTTCAAATGGAATGTATCAGATTAGGCTCTGCCTTGTACTGTGATGGTTTCAAGATGCACCAAGGATTTGTGAAATAAGAAAAGCAAGGGTTGATCCCCAATATAATCAATCTGTTACCTAAATCTGTCTTCTTCATCAGAAAAACAGGGGTTTCTTACTAGATGGAAACAGCAGCAGAGGGAAACTAGACTGTTTTATATGAATAAAGCTAATCTTCAAGTGGTATTGAGTCCTTTCTCTCTCATATAGGGATCCACTACCGAAGGACTATAATTGGCATTTTGTAGGTCATAGCAATATGGTAGCCATGATAGCAATAAGAAAAATCCATAGTAGGGAAGAAGCCTTTATTAGGCCAAACAAAGTGTCACAAAAGTGTGTGCATGTTTTAAAGCTCTCTAGAATACTTTATCAAGGCTTGAAGGTGAACAAAGTAAGAGCAGGGCTGGGAAGAGAAAGAAAGTTTACTGATATTATCGGTAGACTGCATTTAATGACAGTTTTTAAGATGGAACACAGAAGTAGGTGTGACCTATAAAATACAAAATGTAAGCAAAACCAGCAAAGAAATGATGTTTTACTGTTTAGAGGCAGAATTTTATTTTTTGATGGTAACTCCAATCTAACTGCTCTATAAACTTTGCAAGTTTTTAAAAATATAAAAAACATATTAAGATGAGTAGCTTGTAGTTGTATATTTGTTTGTTTCTCTGCCCCATGAGTCTTAGGGGCTGCACTTGTTTAGTTTGAATGTCTTCTCCCCACTCTCACACACTCCTTCTTATGCAAGCCACCAAATGAAGACACCATGGCTGAAATGCCAGAGAAATTCCCCACCATTACTTCTATTCACCTTGTACCCCAGGGATGATAACTCTTGGTGGTGGGTAGTTTTTCCACTCTACAGCCCTCCATGGGCCAGATAACATTGAGGAACATGGCCATGCTCCAGCTGTCAAGAACATGGCCTGCCCTCCCGCATCACTGCACCTTTCCTAGTCAGGGAAGGCACAGCATGGATGAAATGCCACCTGTGCTGCAAGACTGAAAGGGGCACTCATCACGGGGCAAAGCAGAGGCAGAAACCAGCTTGGTACATAACATGTCCTCTTTGATAGAGGAAGGAGATGTGCTGCCTGAGCTAAAGGAGTGTTTCTTGACCCATGTAACTTGATCAGGACTTCTCCCCACTCCCTATCAGGAAAGGCAAGGGGTGGAGGAAAATGAGGTGAGAATCCTTGCTGTTGTCAGAGATATCTGACTGGACATAACTCCTGGGAGAGATGGAGCCCAGGATGGGAGAGGGGCAGAAAAAGAGAACTGTGGTGGTCTAGATTGAGAAACCTCTGTAACGTGGACTGGCTATGGGGTGAATAGGCTCCCCTCCCTTGATCTTGTGTGAAGCAACATTCCGAAGAATTTGAAAGCTCACAAGTTATTCGTTGACATTTGGGTTGTCCAAAGAATGGCATTTTTGTAGGATGGATTTTTTTTCCTTATGACTAACAAGGCTACCTTTGCTTCTCGCTATGGACAGAAGTGGCAGAAGTCCATTTTCCAAGCAGGAGAAGGAATGTTTTGTTTTTTCAGGCAAAGTGACACAAAATGGTAAGAGAAGTGGCATTTTATGAACAGCTGCCTACATGCCAAGCTTCTCCAGTACATGAAGTCTAAACGCTCCACATAATTTTTAAATACACTAGTTGCAGCATTTGCATTACTTTTTTGGACTCAGCCTCCTAGAATCTCCTAGTCAGCATGGCCCAGGGATTGTGCTGGCCTTGGTATTTGGAAAGTTACAGTCCAAAAAAATAACTTTTCCAGATTTCATCCAACACGGTGGGTAGGGAGGACTTAGAAAATATTCAAATGTCCCTCAACAACTACATTTGTTTAAACTGTGGGTAAACTATGGAGGAAAACTGCATGAATGTTGTGAGCATCTATTGGGAGGTGCCTGTGATATCTCAGTAGCAGATAACTTACCACTGCCATTGTGTCTAATTTTTCCAGTTTTCAAAAAACATGTGTTTTTAAAAAGCACAGCTAACTTTCCCTGCATGGGTCAGAGGGATCCATGTAGGGCAGGCTTCCTATGTCATTGGACCTCAACTTCCAGAAGCCAGTAGTCAACAATCCTGGGAACTGCAGTCCAGCACCATCTGGGGATCTAAAACTATAGAACACACCTGATTTCTCCCTATCTGAACAGCAGTAGGTCAGAGATAGATTTTTGAACTACACCTCCCAGAATCCCCAATACTGTGCATTTCTTGGTCAAGTAGAAAGAGGGAGGTAGGGCAGAATGGACGGGAATATGGAAGTGTTGAAAAATCTCTCATTCCTTGCAATGTTTTGTGTTGCACCAACATATACTGATATGGATGGAGGAAGAAAGTAACATTCTATTATACCCAGTGGGAATTTCTTCTCTGAGTGCTTCGCCCGTGCAGACAGGGCTCTGTGTTTTACTTCGACTCTGTTCAACAGGTTTAGAGCAGTGATTCCCAATCTTGGGTTCCTAGATGTCCTTAGACTGCAACTGTCAGAAATCCCAGCCAGCCCAACTAGTAGTGAAGGCGTCTGGGAGTTTTAGTCCAAGAACATCTGGACACCCAAGGTTGGGCCCCACTGGTTTAGAAGCTCAGTGCTCCAAAACATATCATTTATGCTATATCATGAATCTAAAAGGGAATCTATAAAGGGAAACAAAGGGAGTCCCTTTGGCATGGATCATGCCCAGGTTTTCCATTTTATAAAGCCCTCCTAGCAAGCTACCATAGGTTCGATCACTTTATTGTCTAACAGAAATGCTCTGTCAGGGAGCCCCCATAGTGGCTGCTATAAGGATCACAGAGGCGAGAAAACTGTACTTTATGTTCATGAAGGCTTTCACAACCAGGATCTGATGGTTGCTGTGGGTTTTTTGGGTTCTTTGGCCATGTTCTGAAGGTTGTTCTTCTTAATGTTTCACCATTCTGTGGCTGGCATCTTCAGAGGACAGGAGTTAGAATGCTGTCTGTGCTGTGTTGCAGTTTGTTGGATAGTTGAGTATTTATAGCTGTGGGAACATCTTTTGTCCTTTTCGGGAGATGGCTGATTATGGTGATCAGTGTGTTTTTGTTGTGATAAGGGGGAGAGATGATCTGTCACTGTGATTGATGGGTGTTGTTAGCTGGTCTTTTGTGTGCAGTAATCACTGGTCCTTATGGCTGAGCAGAGTTTGTTGACCTTTTGCAGGCTGTATTATTCAGTGCCGGGAGCCAGGCCTTGTTGAGTTTTACACTTTCTTCTTCTTTGTTGAAGCTCTGCTGGTGTTTGTGGATTTCAATGGCTTCCCTGTGCAGTCTAACGTAATGATTACTGGTGTTGTCCAGTACAGTGGGGTCTTGATTTAAGAACGGCTTGAGTTAAGAACATTTTGACTTAAGAACCACTCTCATAGGAAAATATTGACTTGACTTACATCCTTAGATTTGAGTTAAGAACTGAAAAAAA